TATGGGTTGTAAATGTGCAGAAAGAGCACTTCCTAGTTCCATAGCCTTGTTTCTATACTTATAAAGCTGACAGATCTTCATGATAGTAGTATGTACAGTTTTAAGATAATTTAGATTTGATTACTATATAGCAGTTCAAATTATAATATATATTTTTCATTTTTTTTCCTAATTGTATCTTGTTTACTGAGTTTTGTTTGTAATGCATACAAATGAATTATATAGGCTACAATTTGGAGTGTTTAATCATTTCTCAATAAAACACCAAACAAAGGCTTACAGTTCTTATATAACGAATTTGAATTCATCTACAGAAAGATCTAAGCCTGTTACACAGTGATTCATCAAAAATTCAATATTTAACGTCTCTCAACCATCAACCAAAGATAGTTCAAACGCTCCATGGATTACAGTTATATTTTCGCTCATAAGATTTGCAAAGCTCACATTGATATGAGAAATCTACACTTTGTGCTTCCGATAATGTTAAGTTTAAGTGTCTCAAACATGGCTTGTAAATGAACCCATCGTTTGCAGTTGTCACACATTACCCAAATTTGGCATTTTGTTTCTCCCTTTCCGCAATATAAACATAAATCGGAAACATTTTCAGACTGATGTAGGCACAGCCTTTTTAAATAATTTCCGTAAATTCTTGGATCAAAATTAGAAGTCAGATTTTCTTTTTTTAGCCAGCGCTCTATAAAATTTATAACGTACACACCACAGCTATAACTGTCTTGTTGCGTTACTCCGACAGCTTCAGTAAAAGTCCACTTATTTACTTCAAAGTCATCTGATCTGTATTGTGTTTTTTGAACAGAACACAAGAAGTTGCGAAATTTTCTATGAGCTATTGTGTTTGTATCGCCACAATCTGGTAGAGGATTATAATAATAACAAACTTAATTTTTTAAATCGCCTATGATCAAACAATAATGGTTCCTTTGGTCACTAATTGGTATTACATACGGCATTAGCATGGCTTCGTACTTGTTTAAGTTTCTAAAATAACTCCACAGTGGTGATGCTACAGTTACTGAATGTCCTCTCAACAAGGAGTAATTTGATTCCACATTAACTAATTTTATAATTGTTTCTTTGTTTAATGATTTTAAAACTGCTGCAATACATGCATCAACCGAGCCTTGAATTAACTCGCGGTTATCAAATAGAGACGAATATTCTTCTCCAAATAATACTAAGGTTTTAGTTGGAGTCAAATTTTTGAATACTGCTACTATGTATGAATCAGCAACAAGTACGTCTGTATAAAAATCCGGGTTATCGAACAGTCCATTTGGCAAAGCTTTCTCGTGCGGATATTCCTTGTTCAAACTTATTCTACATTTAGTTATTGTACTACTTTTAACACTATCTACTAGTTCCTCCTCTTGTTTAGTGTCATTCTCTACAAATGCTTTAGTAGTGACTGGGCGTAATCTGAATTTAGATGTCGCATTAGTGTTATTCTTTAATTTTATAGCTTTAGGAGAGTGGCCCGTAAAATAGCTATCAGCAGATTTTCGTTTCTTGCACCATGATTCCTCAATATATGGGTCATCGATGTCTTCTTCGCTGTTTTCCAATAATACGGGTTTCGGTGGATCATCGAAGTCTTCTTCGCTGTTAATTTCCAATACTATGGGTTTCGGTGGGTCATCGATGTCTTCTTCGCTGTTAATTTAGAATAAAATGGGTTTCGGTGGATAATCTATGTCTTCTTCGCTGTTTATTTTCAATATGGTTCTCAGTTGGTCTTCAATATCTTCTTCTCTGTCATTTTTCACAATACGTATAATGTACGTATAATGTACAGTACGGTCTCAAATATGCCTTTTAAAATACGTCAATTAATTAGTTTTAACTTGTATACACGTTTTATCAATGTATAATTGACATTATATAAATATAAAAACATCATTTCGCACCGTATTGTCATTGAATTGTGTTTTCGACATCCCTGCAAAACACGTTTGTGGCGTCAGCAGGAGTACCAACCCACATCTATTACAAACCGAAACTTTTCCTGACGCTAATTCCTATAAACCATATAGATTTTGCCTTATAGCTTCGTAATTCACTGGACTGCCGCAATCATATTTACCCTGAGTATTCTAGACATTTTATATTACCATTAGAATACATCAAAGTTGATGTGATGGGCTTAGGAAAAAGATTGTGCACTTTTCCTTATGCGAGTTCCTATCAACCATATACATTTTGCCATATAACTTCGTAATTCACTGGACTGCCGCAATCATATTTATACTGAGTATTCTACACATTGTATATTACCATTAGAATACCTCAAAGTTGATGTGATGGGCTCAGGAAAAAGATTGTGCACTTTTCCTGATGCGAGTTCCTATCAACCATATACATTTTGCCATATAACTTCGTAATTTACTGGACTGCCGCAATCATACTCATACTGATTATTCTACACATTGTATATTACCATTAGAATACCTCAAAGTTGATGTGATGGGCTCAGGAAAAAGATTGTGCACTTTTCCTGATGCGAGTTCCTATCAACCATATACATTTTGCCATATAACTTCGTAATTTACTGGACTGCCGCAATCATACTCATACTGATTATTCTAAACATTGTATATTACCATTAGAATACCTCAAAGTTGATGTGATGGGCTCAGGAAAAAGATTGTGCACTTTTCCTGATGCGAGTTCCTATCAACCATATACATTTTGCTATATAACTTCGTAATTCACTGGACTGCCGCAATCATATTTATACTGAGTATTCTACACATTGTATATTACCATTAGAATACCTCAAAGTTTATGTGATGGGCTTAGGAAAAAGATTGTGCACTTTTCCTGACGCAAATTCCTATCAACCATAGATTTTGCCTTATAGTTTCGTAATTCACTGGACTGCCGCAATCATACTCATACTGATTATTCTACACATTGTATATTACCATTAGAATACCTCAAAGTTGATGTGATGGGCTCAGGAAAAAGATTGTGCACTTTTCATGATGTGAGTTCCTATCAACCATATACACTTTGCCTTATAGCTTCGTAAATCACTGGACTGCCTCAATCATATTTATACTGAGTATTCTACACATTGTATATTACCATTAAAATACCTCAAAGTTGATGTGATGGGCTGAGGAAAAAGATTGTGCACTTTTCCTGATGCGAGTTCCTATCAACCATATACATTTTGCCATATAACTTCGTAATATACTGGACTGCCGCAATCATACTCATACTGATTATTCTACACATTGTATATTACCATTATAATACCTCAAAGTTGATGTGATGGGTTCAGGAAAAAGATTGTGCACTTTTCCTGATGCGAGTTCCTATTAACTATATACATTTTGCCATATAACTTCGTAATTTACTTGACTGCCGCAATCATACTCATACTGATTATTCTACACATTGTATATTACCATTAGAATACCTCAAAGTTGATGTGATGGGCTTAGGAAAAAGATTGTGCACTTTTCCTGATGCGAGTTTCTATCAACTATATACATTTTGCCATATAACTTCGTAATTTACTGGACTGCCGCAATCATACTCGTACTTATTATTCTACACATTTTATATTACCATTAGAATACCTCAAAGTTGATGTGATGGGCTCAGGAAAAAGATTGTGCACTTTTCCTGATGCGAGTTCCTATCAACCATATACATTTTGCCATATAACTTCGTAATTTACTGGACTGCCGCAATCATACTCATACTGATTATTCTACACATTGTATATTACCATTAGAATACCTCAAAGTTGATGTGATGGGCTCAGGAAAAAGATTGTGCACTTTTCCTGATGCGAGTTCCTATCAACCATATACATTTTGCCATATAACTTCGTAATTTACTGGACTGCCGCAATCATACTCATACTGATTATTCTACACATTGTATATTACCATTAGAATACCTCAAAGTTGATGTGATGGGCTTAGGAAAAAGATTGTGCACTTTTCCTGATGCGAGTTCCTATCAACCATATACATTTTGCCATATAACTTCGTAATTTACTGGACTGCCGCAATCATACTCATACTGATTATTCTACACATTGTATATTACCATTAGAATACCTCAAAGTTGATGTGATGGGCTTAGGAAAAAGATTGTGCACTTTTCCTGATGCGAGTTCCTATCAATCATATACATTTTGCTATATAACTTCGTAATTTACTTGACTGCCGCAATCATACTCATACTGATTATTCTACACATTGTATATTACCATTAGAATACATCAAAGTTGATGTGATGGACTAAGGAAAAAGATTGTGCACTTTTTCCTGATACGAGTTCCTATCAACCATATAGATTTTGCCTTATAGCTTCGTAATTCACTGGACTGCCTCAATCATATTTATACTGAGTATTCTACACATTGTACATTACTATTAGAATGCCTCAAAGTTGATGTGATGGGCTTAGGAAAAAGATTGTGCACTTTTTCCTGATACGAGTTACTATCAACCATATACATTTTGCCTTATAGCTTCGTAATTCACTGGACTGCCTCAATCATATTTATACTGAGTATTCTACACATTGTATATTACCATTAGAATAGCTCAAAGTTGATGTGATGGGCTTGGGAAAAAAGATTATGCACTTTTTATGTTCGGAGTTTTAATTGATCGCGTTATGTTAAGCCATAGCTTCGTATAATGTACACTACGGTCTCTAATATGCCTTTTAAAATACGTCAATTAATTAGTTTTAACTTGTATACACGTTTTATCAATGTATAATTGACATTATATAAATATAAAAACATCATTTCGCACCGTATTGTCATTGAATTGTGTTTCCGACATCCCTGCAAAACACGTTTGTGGCGTCCGCAGAAGTACCAACCCACATCTATTACAAACCGAAAAAGCGCCGATGAAAAGAGCCGCTAACTTCACGACGGTCTCCTGCTCCTGCTCCTCTAAATCCTGCCATTCCTGCCTGACCTGATTCCTGAATCCGGAATCCTCAGTCAGAGTGTCAGACAGAATAGCAATAAGTTAAAATTAAAAAGTTAGCTCATCGTATTCGTAAATTCGTAGTGATTCCAGTGATTCCTGAGGACCAGTTTGTTTCAAGAATCAAGACTTCAAGTTAGGAAGTTTTTTCCAGAAAAGTGTATTGTAGGCTAGGCCTAGGCTACTTCTACTTTGTACATGAATAACTATAAAGTCTATAAACAGGGGTAAGTTATGAGCTTGCATTGCTACACCATTGACCTGCTGTCCATCATTATCATCCTATTTTAGCGAATTTCCGTATAGGGAAGTAAGTTAGTGGTAATTATTGCGACGAACGTGACCATGGGAACCTATATAGATTTATATATCACCAGATACTAGTTTTTTTGCTGAAAATAACGGTGCACAAATTTTTCCGCGCTCACAAATATTAACGGAGTTATGGCTGTTTTAAGTTTTATTTACCTTTGTAAGTCTACTGACTACCTAACTTAGTATAACTTATTTTAATTGACAATATTTCCTCACCAGAAACTTTGTATAGGCCTAACTATTAAATTTATGTAATTTGTGTGTCAACATTGTGTTACTTTAACCATGTAGCTTTTAAATGCCCTGTTGAATCCTTCTTATACCTAGAATAAGGATTTTTACTAGGCATACTTCTAAAGCCTAACAACTAACAACTACTATTAAACATACACCAACAAACAATGTTAGACTTCTATGTCCATTCTAAAATCTGAAGTTTTTTCCATGTCTAGTTCATGTTGGTGACACTTGAGCGCTAGTGTCATAACACTTTGTTAAATATTATAAGAGAGTACTACAGTAAAGTATTATTAAATACTAGCTGTGTGCCCGTTCTACGCACGGGGATCTTATAGTAGTCAGTTGAATGTGACAAAAATCACAAAATGTGTTGGGTTTTTGGACATTTGTAACTTTATTTCTTAAGTAGGTAGGCCATGTATTCCATGGAAAAGTACATGTATCAAGGATCGTCATCGAAAAAGGTTGTTATGAATAAATAGGTAGGCGTACGTACCCAAGAGATGGGCTATGGGCCTATTGGCTGTATGGTCCAGCGATTGCATCACACGGTGAGTAGAAACAGAAAGTGACACATTTGGTAAAACGAGTTTAGCATCATCCGTATACCTCTATTACTTACAATCACCCACTGTAGTTGTGATTTTTTCATCTTTACACTTAACACAATCGCCATTCAAGCGCCGTCAGTGAGTGAAAACCTTGTTTGTAAGCTATTGGCGACGATCATTATAAGTGTCCCAGTCCTATACAACACTGATTCAAGGTCTTCTTTCTGGCTATCAAAACTCAAGAACAATTTCATACACAAATAATCTCTGGTTCCTGACCTGGATGATGCCTAGTTATTTAATTTCATTTACGGTTACACTATAATATTGCACTTGCGATTAATTAAATCCGTTATGTAAGAAAAACGTTTTTAATCTCACTTTGTTTGGGATTTGCTTTCAAAACGTGATCGGAAATGATTGCGGTATTTGTAAACAACATTTGTAAACATATCAGTGACAGCTAGAAAAAATAATCTTGATCCGAACAGCTGTTCGTTATTTCATAGATGATTATGTGATAAAAATTGACCGAAAACTTGGCAAAAATCGCACAAAACCACATTTTTGAACGACCGCAATTTTATTTACAAAGTAGTGAGGCCATGTTTTAATGGCTAAAGACACTCTCGCCAATCAAGTGAATTCATTAAAATGACTTGGATCTTGATAGGTACTCTCGTTTTCATGGAGAAGATTGCGTAAAATGCCATCTTGAGTGTTACAGAAAGACAGACAGACAGAAATAGAGATAAGACTTGTTTCTGCTTCTTTAATGTATAAAACGTAAAAATAACCTTAAAAATATATAATTCTGAGCAATGTACAGACAAAACTCTAATTTTATTTACCTATATAGATATTAGTAATGAACTGTGCTTTACATTTGGTAATAGGCCTATAACCAGGGGATGAGTGATTGTGTTATTGACTTGTACAATATTTTCAACAACATAATCAAGTTTTGTACTTGGTTTTATACTGCTTTGTGATGCCATCTGGGCTCAAGTGTGTACCATTCTGAATTAATTGTTGAAACTCCTGCCAAGCTGCAATGTGCAAACACAGCACAATAACGATTTCAGTGATGTCTGGGATCAGTACAACAGTGGCATCACTTGAGTATTTATCTAATAACTTAGAGTGGAAAGAGTAGGCCTACTACCTTTGACTATTAATACAACCTACACAGATGGAGATGCATAAAAACATCCATTACCAAGTTCTCCGTTTAGATCTTTGGGGAGGTCTTTCTCCGCTTCTCGTAGTAGATTCCCTAGTTCCCGTCATTTTCGTAGCTCCTGCAAGTTTTTCTTCAGCAATAGGTGTGGTTGCGGGCCTATCCTACTCACATTTGCAGGCGCAGGGGTAGACAGTAGTCAGATGATTCCAGTAGTTCTAGCAATCGCCACTGGATGGCGCAGGCAAGCACTTTTGGCTTAACATCAACTCCCGCACATAATATACGACTGAATTCCCTCAGTAACTACCACAGTTGCAAATCTGATTCCTTAATACAGGTGTGCAAATTTCAAACTTATTTTAACGGAAATCTTGCGGAAACCTAACCTATCTTAATGACATGGTTACAATAATGCATTTTTTATATAGTAGGGCCTATGCTTATGAAAATGGATCTTGAAGAGCTATGAATTATAGCAACAAAAAGATCGTTGCCCATTCACCACCAGACAATACAGTAAACCACATAATTAACAATAATAACTATGACACACAAGTAAGCACACTATTCCCGGCAGGTCAGGCCTTCTAACCCTCTCATATCATATGTATCTCGCCTGGCAAACGTTACTGCACTTGAGCAGCCCATACTATCATGCTCTCATGGAAAAACACCATTCACCAAATTATGTGTACTGTTACTATTATTATCTTTTATACATAGGATTAAAATAGGCCTACTTATGTTTTGATTGGCTTTGGGCTTTGTCCAACAAATGTTTGCAGTTTTAAAGTGAGTATGACACAAATTGCTTTCGAACAGTTTAACTAACAAGGCTAACACAAAATCAAAACTTGTTAATAGTCTGTATTCAAAAATACACTCATCTGGTAATTGGCTGGTTCAAGGTAAAAATAATTAAAGTATCCATATCGCCCGAGGCTAAGTAAAGTGGGGAAGCCAAATCTGTAGATATTCTTTCCATGCTCATACTAAAATGTTTTTATCAGCTCGCTTTCTTGTCCGGTACAAATTTCGCAATCAATTTTATACCAACCTCCCGATGAGCTAGAGATTTGAAACTTGAAATATAGCTCACAAATTGATGACAATGCAATATTATATCATTTCATGTTCATATTTGTTTGGGCTACGCCCCATGGACTTCCAAATTTTCCATGTTTACATTTTGAAAGAATGTAAATATAGGCTATCAATTAATTTAATTCAGCTGTAAATACTTAAATTTGACAGTTCGAAGAGCAGAGGTTAAGAGGTACAAGTTCTGCTCCCGAGATATTGTAAAAATATAAAACAAGCATTTCAAAGTAAAGATAAAACATCTGATTACCATCTTATATATTAAAACGTGACAGGGTTTTTTGATTTCACGATTCTGAATCAACCACTTGACGGATTTTCATGATTTTTGTGTTAAAAGAAAGATAGCCTAATTTTGAGAACTAGGGAATGTCGAAGCCATAATTTTAGTTTAGGGTTTCAGTTTTTTAGAAATTAAGTTTAAAATTTTCAAAAGTCCAGCAGCCGACGCTAACATTCTACTCTAGCTTTTGGTAAATACTATTTGCTTAACGTAACAGCTGTAAAAATTCAGCGTTTTCTGCACAAATTCAGCATTTTTTGGATGAAAATTAAATGACATACGTGGAATTGACTTACTGTATTTATACTATGTGTTATGGCTATAATTATTTATACGTTCATTTATTCGGTAAGAGGATGAGAGTTGATTTAAATATACACATAGTAAAATAGTTGGTGTTCTAATTTATTTTTTTGAGCAGTCTTTAAAATATTTAGTTTGTTTTAGTGCAATATAATTTGTTTTAACTAACAGGTGGTTGAATAAAAAAAAATATTCTTTAGAACTATGAGGTTAGTTTTGATTTACTCTGTGATTTTGTCATTGATTACTTATAGGAAATAAGTAAGATTCTATAACCATTGTTGTATATGAATCTAAGCTCACGAATCTTCAAAAGAAAGCTTATGAAAATTATTTTACTACTCGACTTTTTGAGGAAAGGTTGGGAAAAGAACAATGATCACGTCATGATTGTTGTTGCTTGGCAGCTTTTTCTTTACTATAAATTTTGAACTGCTTAAACTATGCTTGAATTTGTAATTTACACACTATATACAGTTTTAATGGACTACTCGATTCCCCTTCGTAGGACGGGCCAAACAGCTCATACAGATAATAAGGTTTTGGTTATGTATTAACAGGCCATATAAAATAGATTTAACATATTTAAACACATTAAAGACTAAATAGTAGAAACTAATTTATAAATAAAAATACTTTTTAAAAATGCCACGTTTTTAAACGCACTAAAAAGTAGAAAATAATTTATAAATATGTTGAGGAAATAAATAATGTAGGCTAATATTTTAAACAAAAAACTTGGGGCGCATGCAATAGGCCTAGATCATAATAGTTCAATAGGTGAAGTTAATTGTAAATTAGCATGCGCCCCAAATTTTTTGTTTTAAATCTTACAAGTATTTATTCTCTCAACATATTTATAGATTATTTTCTACTTTAACCCTCCGAGGGTCCCTAGTTTTGGCCTTAATGTTTGCCTATTTTTTGCACATTTGCAAGGTTTTATTAAAACGGATCTGAGAAGCTTAAAAACAATGTTAATTATACTGTTCTATATACCATTTTGTTTGGAAAATCATGGGCTTCAATATTATACATAAAACATAAGGAATATTTGTTCCAAAAAATTTTTTAAGTAAAAAAAAATTTTTTTTGGAAAATCTTCAAAAAAAAAATAAGTTTGCGCTCAATGAAGTTGTATAAATTATAGGCCTATAAATATTTGAAAATAGCCACTTTGTTCTAAATTTTATGAGGATTACAAATATATAATCATATAAGGAAGTAGATCTGCAAATAAATAAGTTATGGGCAAAAACAGATTTCGATACATAGCGTTTAGCTAAGAATGCATAGCCTAACCATAGCTAGGAATCTGGCTGATAATTTACATCAATATCACTACCTACTTCTTCAGGATCATCAACCAGCCCTTCAAAATCACCTAAATCTTCTTATAATGCACCACGTATATCAGAACTTTTGATTTTTAACTCAAAACAATGATAAACATAATAAAACACATCAGTCAGCGGTCCGAGGTTAACTAACCTGTTTACAAATATGCACGTCAGCTGTCTGCTACAATTACGATCGGCTCGGAGAACTTACAGCGCTTAGAGACAGACCTTTAGAAAGCTTAGAATCTAACGAAAAGAACGATACCTAACTCGATCCAGTTCAATCCGATTTTGTCAGTCATAGAGCCTTTGCTGTAAACAGTGTTTGTGAGTCGAAAAATCGACACAAAACACTCGGAGGGTTAAGTGCGATTAAAAACGTGGCATTTTTAAAAGCTATTTTTATTTATACCTTTTTTATAAGATCAACCACTATTTTATGTACAGGCTTAAAAATAATACCAACCTATGACACTTTGGAGGGCATTCTCTACTATTTCATTTTAATAATAACCACTTTACTTTGTCTACGGAAGATTGATGATATTTAATCCAGGGGAGGGGTACATTTCCTGCCTGTACACATATGGTTTTCTGATAAGGGGTCATAGTTCTAATCCAGGGGGGGTACATTCACAGACCGTACATCTTTTCTTATATAGCATCCAGTTCACTTGATAACTAGAATACATTAATTTAGATTCTGTTATAGTCTAAGTGTATGGGTCTAATTCTACCCTTTCCATGTGTGTTGTCAAAATGACATCAATGATCAGCAGAGGGAACAATTCTGGCGACCCGGCATTTCAGATTCCAAGAATTCTTAGACCGAATACAAAAGATGAGTCCATAAAAGTTCCTTGCCTCAAGATTTAAAATCCTTCAGGTCCTGGTTCCAAGTCATTTTATTTATTTTCATTTTTTTTATTTATTTCTATGGCATGATGCCTTATTGGGTAAGTCGTTTCAGCTTGCATACTTTATGACTCATCTGTACAATTTTCAGATTTAAATAAGACTGAGTATTGTACAAAAAAATACAATACCTAATGTAATGTTTTAATGTGTAATGTAGTTATGTCTTGAAATTATAGTTTAACGTAAATGAACAAACATATAACTGAAAATGTGTACAATATATGTATATAATTAATTAAACATGTTCTTTTACAGTTTATGAAGAAAATAAACAGATTTGAAGTGGAAAAGGAACTTAAACTAACGTGGCAAGAAAGATAATGTACATAATATCTGATTATATCGGAACTGGAGTGTATCAGAGACTGGAGTACAATACTTTAAAAAGCTGCTAACAAGATTAATCTCTTACTTCCTACACTAAAGCACAAATTAAAGTAAGCAATATGAAAAATAATTTATAAATAAAAATCGCTTCTAAAAATATGTTTTTAAACGCACTAAAAAGTAGAAAATAATTTTATAAATATGTGTAGACTGTAGAGAATGAGTACTTAAAGTACTTTTAAGATTAAAAACGTGGGGTACATGCAAAATCTAATTTACAATTATCTTAACCTATTATATATTATTATTATCTATTGCATTCGCCCTACATTTTTCGCTTAAATTCTTACAAATACTTATTTTCTCATAAATATATATGCCAACATGAAGTTTATTTTCTCCACATATTTATAAAATAATTTTCTACTTTTTAGTGTGTTTAAAAACATGATATTTTAAAAAGTTTTTTTTTTTTAATTATTTTATACTTTTTAGTCTTTAATATCTAAATATGTTAAAATCTATTTTTATGGCTTACTAGCAGAGCACCCGTCCTTCGTACGGGGTTGGCATATAAGTATAAAATGCTTATTGCAGTTATACTCAAGCTTTGCGTTTGCAATGGGGGGAGGACACAGTTTGATAAAATTTGGTTCATAAATTTACGGTATGATATAGTATAACATATCTACCATTGCCATAATGTTCTACCATTGCACCTAAACAATAGAAAAAAATAAATTATCAAACATTCGCACAATATCACAAATTATTCATTAAATTAAAAACTCAAACCTAACTTTAAACAATCCTACTTTGACAGTTCTCATTGTGTATCACAGCTTTTTGTTGCTGCTTAGTTCAAATTAGCTGTTATCATATATATGCACAAACAAAATAATAATAGTGCTGCACCCTGTTGGGAAACCTTATAACTTTTGAATGCTATTGCATATTATAGAACCAACTTGTAAAGTTGAAACAGCTGACTAAATTCTTTAATTCCCTTTAAATGTGAATACTCATAAGTTTAACATGGGGAACTACAGACCCACTGGGGCGGAGCCCGAAAGGATTTTTGAGATACGAATATGCCTAAATGTTAATAGGGAATGTGAGCTATCATCATGCCAAATTTCAACCCAATCCGTCCAGTAGTTTATGCGTGATTGAGCAACACATAAACATACACACAAACTCACAAACTTTCAGATTTATAATATTAGTAAGATTAATAGGCCTACATAACCAAACCTTTTTAACTGTAATCACATATTGCTACTATTCTCATATTCATAAAACTTAAGAATCTCTCGGGAGCAGAACCTGTAGGCCTATATCTTAACCTCTGCACTTTGAAAGGACTGTCAAATTAAAGTATTTACAGCTGACATCAATTGATATATTAACATTAATCAAAATGTAAACATTAAAAAATCGGAATCTTATGGGGTGTAGCTCAAGGGAAATATGGAAATAAATTATTTAATACTACATTGTCATCCATTTGTGAGCTATGTTTCAAGTTTAAAGTCTCTAGCACATCAGGAAATTGGTTTGAAAACCAATTTCAAAATTTGTACCGAACAGACAAGAAAGCGAGCTAATAAAAACATGTTAATGACAACATGAAACATATGAGCCAATTTCTTAAAAAAATAAGTATGGTAATTTAATATGATGGAACTTAAAATAATGGCAATGTTGTATGATATTTAAAACTCTTAAAAATATTTGAACAAGAGTTGTTTCTAAGTTCATTGATAATACAATTGTAAAAGGTTAATCAAATTCTACAATATTAGATATTTAAATAGGCGTACAATGCAAACAGACTAATTCCAATTAGTTTCTAACATGTCTTAAACGTTAGAAGTCAGAAATAAAGACTAAAACATGTTAAAGATCACAAAAAAGTCTTCACTTGAGTAATCAATATGTAGAAAAATGAATGTTTTCAACTCTATTGGCAATGAAGTTTCAAATTTATTTTCACACGGATAAGCAATCAAGTGATAAAATATCAATCAGTTTTACAACCAATTAAACACGGGGTACCACAAGGGTCAATACTTGGACCTTTATTATTTATTAGTTACATCAGGGATATGCCAAACTATCTAAGTTTAAACTTAAGGACATAAAAAATCAACTTATACTATATGAATATTACTCTAATCTTATTATGTCTGCAAAGACTGGCTTGGAAATAGAAATAAATTCATTCATAGAATTAGGTAAACTTAAGGATTTTGTTTCTTCCAATAATCTAATATTAAACCCGCAGAAGACTAATTACTGTACACTCATTTCACTACAGAACAAAACCGAAACGAGAATGATTTTAACATTTTTATTGATAACTAGCTGTACCCGCGGGCTTTGCCCCATTTAGCTTCATAAGTGAGCTCGTTCGCATGGCTCAATCACGTCCTGGTTGAAGTTCGTTCGCTACGCTCACTCACTTTTAGGTTGGAGCTCGTTCGCTGCGCTCACTTGCCTTCAGGTTGGCTCCTTCGCTACGCTAACTTGCCTCCAGGTTGAAGTTCGTTCGCTACGCTCACTCACCTTTTGGTTGCAAATTAGCTGTTGTCATAAATGTAAAAAAAATAATAGTTCTGCACACTGTTGGTAATCCTTGTAACTTTAATAATGCTTTAATGCTATTGAATATCATAGAACAGAACCAACTTGTTTTATTGAAACAGCTGTTAAGATTCATTGATTCCATTTAACTATGAGTACTCATAAGGTTAACATGAGAATCTCCAGAGCCACTGGGGCGGAGCCCGAGAGTCCGATCAGAATAAAAACAGCTTAGTTTCCCTATTTCATGTCCAAAGAAACGGTTTACCGAATTTCAGCCTCCTAGGTTATGGGAAGTGGGAGAATTAGTGATGAGTGAGTGAGTGAGTAAGTCAGTGAGGGCTTTGCCTTTTATATATTTAGATAATATAATAGAAAGGGTAGATAAATCAACATTTTTGGGATTTTATATCGTTAACCATCTTAGTTGGGACCTGCATATAGACCATCTTTTAGCAAAAATAAACTCAGGAATTAATGCCTTAAAAAGATTGTATTATCTTTGTAATTTGAAAGTAAAAAAAAATGTTTTTCATGCCCAAGTGCAATCCCATATATCTTATGGAGTTTGTGCGTATGGAGGTACAACCAAACAAAACCTTTGTGAAATTTTAATTAGTCAAAAAAGAGCTATAAGAGCCATGTTAAATCTCGAGTTTGATGAATCTGTAAAGGGGCATTTTATTAACCAAAATATATTAACCATCTATAGTTTGTATTATCCTTGAGTGTATTATGCATGTCAGGAAAAATAAATCCAATTTTACAACACATGAAGATATACATAACTACAACACCAGAAAAAAAAAACATAGTCTTACCTTTTCACAATTCTGAGCCATATGAAAATAAACCATACTATGCCGGTTCTGTATTCTTAAAACATATTCCTAAAGAAATATTGAACATAGAAAATCAAAACAAGTTCAAAAGTGAATTCAAAAGTTTTATGATCAGAAATGCATTTCACTCTCTTGAAGACTTGTACGATTTAACTGATGTGAATGCTGATGCTACATAACTGTAAATTTCATAACTGAACAATTCAATGCAATGTACTGAGTTAGATTAAGAAACTGTGGCGCTATTTATTGTATTGTTGTACATGAAACAAATAAAGAGGTTTGAATTTATTTTAATTTAATTGAAGCGTCCCTTAAGATGTTTGACACGTGAGAAAACATTTATTCAACTACATCATATAAAGTATCATCTGTTGACACATTCAGGGAAGTGTCCTTATAAGTGCACTTTATATGGACAATTATTCAAAACCAAGAACTGTGTGAAGATTCATACATTAGTTCACAAAGGAGAGAAAAGTGCGGAAAAGTGCACTATTTTAAATCTGATAAATATTTTATAGACACTCTTCTACTTACTTTACATAAATTTTAACTGCATTTATGATTCTAATTTTGCATTATTATGATAATTTGGTTATAATACAGTATGTATACATTTTTGTAATGTTTTGGAATCATCGTTAAAATTAAAAATTACCTCAATGATTCAACAAATGTATATAATTAATAAAATATGGTATTTTCAGAAGAGGCAATAAGATTTGAAGAGGAGAAGGAACCTCAATTCAAGTTGCAAGAAAGATAATTTAAATTATCTGATATAATACTTTAAACATCAGCTAACAGCATTAAGTTTTTACTACACTTTAAGTAATTCACTGCATAAAACTTAAATTATAGGCCTACATGACTTTTATTTGGCTGATGTGGCTGATGCAGTATTATATGAAGAAAACAAGGAACATTGAAGCAACTTTCTCATTTAAATAAATAGGCTAATTTAATTTGATGGAACATAAAAGTCAAGCAAAACAATCCAATTGCCATTAGTAGCATATGTTGTAAGCCATTTTATACACATAACATCATTAGATCAAAAGGTGTTTTAAAGTTGATTGATACATGTACATAACTGTTAAACGTTTAACAAATCAAACACAAATAGACATACAAAGCCCACCTGCTAATTCCAATTAGTTTCTGACATGTCTGATTAAGTAGAAGACAGAAATAAAAAACTAAAACATGTTAAAGATGTATAAAAAACCTTCGCTTGAGTGTCCAATATGTAGAAAAACGTTTTCAACTACATTTAAAATGAAAAGTCACATATATTTACACACGGGCGAGCGTCCCTTTAGATGTTTGACATGTGAGAAAACATTTATTCAACGACAACATGTAGTGTATCATATGTTGACACATTCAGGGAAATGTCCTTATAAGTGCACTTTGTGTGGAAAATCCTTCAAAACCAAGGCCAATATGAAGAGTCATACATTATTAGTTCACACCGAAACACGACCTCACAAGTGCACTATATGTGGAAAATCTTTCAAAACCACTGCTTTAATGAAGACTCATACATTAGATCACACAGGAGAGCGACCTTATAAGTGTACTATATGTGGAAAATCCTTAAAAACTAAGGATATTATGAACAGACATATATTTGTTCACACCAGAGAGCGAAATCATAATTGCACTATATGTGGAAA